GGGGTACAGAACAGGCAGACTGACTGAAATACACAGCTGAGGGGAGCAGCGGGTGAGTCAGGAGAGGCCTGCTGTGCCATGTGGGTAGCTCCCTGACCTGGGATCGAACTCGTGCTGCAGTGGCTGTGTATAGCTTCATAGGTTGCATCTTAACCCCTTGCGCCACTAAGGAGGCCCACCAATTGCATTCTTTAAAGAAGTGAAATAGTATTACTGAAAATCACGTGGAACCATAGAAGACTCTGAATGGCCAAAATTATTCTAAAAAGGGATAAAATGGAGTATCACTCTTCTAAAGCCATAATAATTAATGCAGCATGCTACTGGAAGAAAAACAAGACACACAGATCAATGGAATAGAAATAAGAGTCCAGAAATAAAAACACACATTTATGGAAAACTAATCTATGATAAAGGAGTGAGTGTATGCACTGGAACAAGGAAAACCTCTTCAATAAATGGTGTTGGGACAATTGGACTCCCAAATGTAAAGGAATGAAACTAGATCACTATTTCATACCATATACAAAAATCAAGTCAAAATAGATAAATGACTTGGATGTAAGACCTGGAGCCATAAAAAACACAGAAGAAAACATAGGCAAAACATTTCATGACTTCAGTTTTAGTGACACTTTCAGGTATTCATTCCCCAATAGCAAGGAAAATAAGAGAAAATAAATAAATAGTTGGGACTACATCAAACTAAAAAACTTCTGTACAGCGAAAGAGACAGTAACCAAAAAGAAGAGACATCCTACTGAATATCAAAGACCTACACAGAGCTCAAACAACTTAATAAAAAGAAAACAAATAACCCAATTGAGAAATGGGCAAAAGAGCAAAACAGGCACTTCTCCAAAGACATGTAGATGTCAACAAGCATATGACATCATCAGGAAAGTGAAAATCACTTATCATCATCACTTATCATCAGGAAAGTAAAAATCAAAAGCCACAATCAGCTATCACTTCACATTTGTGAGAATGGGCCTTATTAAAAAAAAAAAACCAAACCCAGAAACAAGTGTTGGAGATGGTGTGGTTAAAAGGAACCCTCGTACACGTTGGTGAGAATATAGAATAGTATAGAATATAGAATAGTATAGAATATAGAATATAATATAGAATAGTCCACCCCCTATGGAAAGAAGTGTGGAGATTCCTCAAAAGACTAAGAATGGACCCACCATATGACCCAGCACTCTTAGATCTTTCCCAGAGAACAGAAAAACACCAATTCAAAAGGAAACCTGCACTCCCATGTTTATTGCAGCACGATTCACAATGGACAAGCTGTGGACAAAACCTAAATGCCCCAAGATAGATGAGTGAATCAAGAAGATCTGGTATGTATTCACAATGGAATATTACTCAGCGACCTAAAAAGAATAATTCATGCCATTTGGAGTGACATTGATGGAACAGAAGGGGATTATCCTAAAGTGAAACAAGCCAGAAGGAGAAAAATAAATACCAGATGGTCTTACTTATATGTGGAGTATATAGAAACCAAAGGATTAAAGTCAAACTTCAAAACCAACCATTAAAAGTTTACCATAGAGGGCCTCCCCTGGTGGTGCAGCGATTGAGCGCTGGGCTGCTAAGCTGCCCGCAGAGGGCAGCGCCGGCTCTATCCCCGGCCGCCGGGCGAGGGTCCCACATGGCGCGCAGACCTCTCTGCCGCCCGCTGCTCCCCTCAGCAGTGTACTTGGGTCCTTCTGCCTGCTCTGCTCCCAGCTCTTGCTCTGGTGAATTCTTTCACCCTCCCGTGCTTCTGACTGTACCCAGTGCTTGTATAAATAAATAAATCTTTGAAACAAAAAACAAAAAACAAACAAAGTTTACCATAGATTGGAAGCATCCACATGGGAGGGGAGAGGGAAAGAAAGGGAGAAATAGGTGGCATGAGCATAATGGACTACAGTGGAGGATTATGGGTAATTTGGGGGAACTATGATGACCACACCTAAGGGGAGAAATTCTTTATCATTAAAAAAATGAATAAGGATGTCAAATAATATTATTTAATTCAAAAAAATTTGAAGGGACCTCTCTGGTGGCACAAAGGGTTAAGACGCAACCTATGACACTATCCACAGGGGTACTGTATAAAGAACCCGGGTACAGGCCAGATGCACAGGAGGGTGAGAGGATTCACCAGGGAACAGAATAGGCAGACTGACTGAAACACACTGCTGAGGGGCGCAGCAGGCATGATAGGAGAGGTTTGCTGCGCCATGTGGGACCCTCACCTGCCTGCCAGGATCGAAGCAGCGCTGCAGAGGCTGTGGACAGCTTCACAGCACTGCACTCAACAGCCTGTGCCACCAGGGGAGGCCCAATAAATAAATCTTTAAAAAAAATTGAAAAGGAATTTATGGAGAATGCTAGGAAGACTAACTCCATTCTATATTTGGATTATGAATGATGACCTCATTTTCTCTTATTCATACACATGAATGATCCTATTACACATACAGTAGTTGAATTTTCTCTCAGGTATACAAGTACACACACACAACTTCCACATACATTGCTCAGCAACAGAGTAGAAGCTTTTCTCCTCTGGAATTATTTGGATTCAAATTCTGGTTATGGCAGTTTTATGTCACACAGACACAAAAGACCTACTTAACATCAACAGTTACACTTCTTCAGGAAAGTAGCAAGAATTTTAACTGCTGTAAAGATTAGAAGAGTACTTGTGGAAATTGTCTTGTTAACATTATAGAGAATGTTTTTTTTTAAGTTGTAGTATTATTTAAATTATGTTCCCCACCCAAAGTACACATACTACATATAGTCAAAGTTTAAAATGGCTTTCTTAAACGTTAGTCATATCTTCTCGTAGCTCATTTGAATTAAATATGTACAACAGATTATATTGTTGATAACTACGAACATTTATTAAGCACCAAGAATATACTGCAATAGTTGCTATGTAAAAACATAATTACTAGTATAGTGTCCCTGCCACTGAGCTTACAATCTAAGATGAAATACAAGAATGCTGTAAGCCTACCTCAAAATTTCCTTAAATAAGAAATGGCTATTTTGGCAAATAAGTGAGGCAAAATGACCTAACATTTCAGGTAAAATGTTAAAAAGACTTTGAACATATCCAAAGAATGTTTTACTTGTACCTCGACATTTCTCCAATTATATTACACTTGGTAAGAAAAAGAGCACTTAGAAATTCAGTAAGAACAATGAATTATTTCAAATTGCCTTGAAGGATCTTTAATCAAAGAGATGCTTACTAGTCTGAGTTTTTCCACGAAAATCTCATGAAAAGTATTATTATGAACTAAACCAAGTTTGTGTTCTATTTCACTTAAACATTTCAATTTATTCCTCCTTTCACACATGTAAGGATTCCAATACACCCCAATGAAGGAAGAAAATACTCTATATCTAGATAAAATCCTCCAAATTACTAGAGGCTTAACAAGTTGAACATCCAGGAAATACTAATTCATATTTTAAGGGAGAAGTGAGGAAAGACAGCAGTGGGCCCCCTGGCTAGAGTCTGGATATCTAAGATATAGGAACAACACAGCTGAGTTCAGTCCATGCATCTTTGAAGTTATTAAGAATATAGGTAGGTATATGGCTGCTTTTCTGTTCTGTATTTTTGGTGTGGGTGATTTGGGAATTTAGCATTAAGATTCTATATTGCAAATATTGTACTACTTTACCCACAATTATAGGAAATATTTCTTAACTACTTTTAAGATTTTCATTAGTCATATCTTAGCTCACAAAGGCACAATGAGGGATTTTGATTCTTACTGTCAAAGGCAAAGACCGTTTTAAACTTCTGAGCACATACAGTCTTAAACTGTACATACTGATTACTTTTTATTTATAATTATTTCAACTCTAAAACAACACTAAAAATTATTGGTTATAAGTTATCTGAAAGCCAAAATAGAGTTTACTCTGTAAAGTATATGCATAAACATTAAAAAAATACATGCATACAGATATTTTAATGGCAGAGTGGTAGCATCCTGAGATTATTTTTAATGATAAAACAGTATTTCAGCAATTTTTATCACCCCCTTAGAAGTATATCTTGGCAACTTTCTTTTAAATGAGCAGTAGCAACATTTTATAAATGTTCACATTTGCTTTGCACTCAAGTTTATAGAGACAGAATGGTCCAGAATGTCAGGATAAATTTTTTATAAAGTAGAATAATGCACAACTTTGTACCTAAAATTGAAACTTAAGTATCCCTTTTACAATTTAAAACTGTCATTTATACCTCCTACTAGTAAAATCCAATTATAAAATTATGAGATTTGAAATGAAAAACATAACATCATTCTCTTTTAAGATTACAGAAATTAATTTCAAAAATTTCCAAAAAATAGGAGAAAAATGTTTAAAAAAATATAACCATAACTGGAGAAGAATTTGGACTTAAAAATCTCAATCAGTGCACTTATTTTCAGTTGGCATTGTATGAAACAGCTAAAATACCTGATTAAAATATACGTTTTCCTAAGGCAAGGCAAACTGATTATAAAGCATATAGATATCAGCATGGTTATAAAGGCAATTATGACCAATATATGTACATTCATTTTTTTAAATGATACATTCCAAGTTTACATAAATTTTAATTTCATATCCTAGTCTAAAACTACATCTTGATCTTAAACCTAGAAACATAATTGCTCTAACACATTAAAGAATACTTCATTTTCCAATATTGTAAAGTGTACTGTATTTTCAAATATGTAGTATAAATTTTTTTTGCACAAAGTTTATAAAGGCATACTATTAGCGAGTAATAACTACCGTGTTAAGCAATTATACATAGGAAAAAGTTCACAACAAAACATAAAATTAAGCATAATAATGATTGCATTTAACACAAAAACACAAAATCAAGTACTTTTGAATATACTTTCTTCTTGTTTTAGTAATTACATTACAAACAACTATTAGTTTGATAAGCATAAGATTCTCTAAGATTTGTTTTTCTTGGTGGTTATTTTTCTTCCCTAATATCCTCTACAATAGCAATTAGCAATTAATTTTCTTTTGAATACATAGTAAAATAATGTTTATAAGTTTTTATCTGAATCAAATAAAAGCTAGTCCTTACCTTACTTTCATTTTAAAAGTTATAGTCCATCATTTGGACCAAAATTAAAATTAACCATATGTTTTTTGTGATAAAGTACAGTCTACATGTTAACAACTTGCTAGGGGTTATTAAAAGGCATATCTTGATTTTATCTGTGTTTTAACTATGGTTACACAAGCTTCTCTCTCCTTTTCCATGAGAAAAGGAGATAAAACCACGTAATGGTCCTCTTCACTCTCAACTATTTTGAGATACAGCTTTAAATATAAGGGTGGATCAAATCAAGTAATGTTGGTAATCTCCTATTTTGCATAGAAAAGAAAAAATAAAACAAAGGGAGTTATTTCCTTCCTAAGGTCTCAGCTAGTTTCTTAAGTCTTTTCTTCAGCTCCAATGGAAATTTTTCATAGCACTTCTTACAGACTGGCTTCATGTCAAATTCCACAAATTTATTCCTAAAGAGAATAATAGCAGAAAGAAATTAGTGAAAATATATTCAGAGTAGACATAAAAATCACATTAAATAATTTTCACTGAAGTAAATGAGAACACTCAATGACAATATCTATATTCATGTTAGATAAAAACTGTAATCTTAATCTCAATTCTTGTCAATTGTGGCAGATATAAAAAATTCACAGTATCATTTGAAAAGAATTGTCCTTGTAAACTGATTTTATACATCTATCTCTGCAATACAGAATGTATAACACATTTTAGTCAGTACTAAATATACAGGAAATCTAATGTAAATATAATTTACATAAGTAAATTTGATCACATTTTACAGTATCATGAGAACATTTTAAATTAAAGTTATTTAAAACAAAGAATTGTATTTATATAATTTAAATGATCCCTTTTCTTAAAGGCAAAATGACATTACATAGTATTTTACATTAGCTATGAATTTTCATCTTTTCTGTCATAAAATAGTTTGCCTTCTATCCCCACACACAACAGAAATCACTTTAAAAAATCTTCCCCCCATAAGTCTTAAATCATAATGGGATATTTTGGTAGGGGAAAAGTTGGTAGGGGAGATTTTAATCACTCTTAAGGAACACAAATGGACAAATTGCCTGTAGTTACCTTTTGAATGTTAGCTCTATGGATAACTTAATTCTTCTTTTTAAAAACTAGAGTAGTACATGGTATCTGTTTATTTATAAAACAGTTCTGGCGATAAGTTTTCAGGCAGCCTACTTGTACTACATTTCCAATTGGTAATAACTGCAATTGCTTGTTACCATTGAAATCTGGGGTCCTTAACTGTGGCTTGAGTAAATACATAACTTTGTAACTGGTTCATTTTCTGTGAAATTATATTTAGGAAGTATCTATGGAACAAGTCCAGTGGCACATTATCATCTGTTGAAATTATTAAATCTGCTAATATAACTAATGTATTTTTAAAGTATATTAAACTAGAATATATGCTTCATGATAACTACACATTTATTTATTTATTTATTTATTTATTTATTTATTTATGCATGCACGCAAGAGCTGGGGTGCAGGCTAAAAGTGCAAGGGGTGAGAGGATTCACCAGAGACAGCGGGGAGCAGAACAGGTAGATGGACGGAAATACACTGCTGAGGGGAGCAGTGGGCGAGACAGGAGAGATCTGCTGCGCCATGTGGGTTACTCCCTGGCCTGGGATCGAACTCATACTGCAGTAGCTGCGGATTGCCTCATAATGCAGACGCTTAACCCCTTGTGCCATCAGGAAGGCCTGATAACTACACATTTCAAATGAAAATTTTTTTGTTTTTTAATACCACATGAGAATTATTTTCTGTTTTTTTCAGAGACTGTAAAGCTGACTATAATTCAAAATGATGTTATATTTCAATTGGTACTTAAATGTACCAATACTTAAATGGTATTACTTAAATGGTAATACTTAAATGGTATTACTAAGTCAAAAATTTCTACCAAAGTCTCTTTAGAAAAAAAGCTATTAAACTGCCATTTTTTTAGATAACAGAAATAAATGGTCACTGTTTTCAGAGCTACTGCTAAGTGCAACTTCCAGTGTTTTGATTTTATGTATGAATTGCAGAAGGAAACAAGAGAACTGAAATTAAAAAAGAAAAACAACTTATAGCATGTAGAACACAATGGTAACCATGAAGGAAAAATGGTACAATCATGCTGGTTATTCAACAGATTTTCAAAGATTGAAACATTTCCCATAAAAATCAGGAATAAAATAGAGAATGAATTCATAAACAGTAGCATATGGGCATTGTATGGAAGTACAGATACATACACCAAAGATACCAGAAAGCTTATGTATCAGATGGTGCTTAGAAATGAAACATGTTGAAAGGATTTAATTTTTTAAAATATTTATTTATTTTTATTTACTTATACAAGAACTGGGTACAGTCAGAAGCGCGGGAGGGTGAGAGAATTCACCAGAGCCAGAACAGAGAGCAGAACAGGCAGACTGATGAAGGACACTGCTGAGGGGAGCAGTGGGCGGCAGGAGAGGTCTACGCGCCATGTGGGACCCTCGCCCGGTGGCTGGGGATCGAACCGGTGCTGCAGAGGCTGCAGGCAGCTTTGCTACCCAGCGTTCAACTGCTGCGCCACCGGGGAGGCCCTGAAAGGATTTAATTTAATAAAGAACTTTGAATACGTAACACTTCAAATTTATCAATTAAGTAATTTTAGGCAAAACCACAAAAAAAAAACCCCTCAGGATTTAAAAAGCTGCAATAATGAGACAAAAATACTTCAAAGCTTTTCCCAATATCTATTAAGAGAATGGATTCTTCCTTTTGAATCCATTAAAGAATTTCATATAATATTGCAAATTTTTTTTTCAATGATTTATTTATGTGTACAGGCCAGAGGTGTGGGGGTGAGGGTGAGAGGATTCACCAGAGCGAGTGGGGAACAGAACAGGCAGATTGACAAAAGTACACTGCTGAGGGGAGCAGCGGGGCAAGTCAGGAGAGGTCTGCTGCACCTTGTGGGTTGTTCCCTGGCTGGCCAGGAATCTAACTCATGCTGTAGTAGCTGCAGATAGCTTCATAGGATGTGTCTTAATTCTTGCGCCACCAGCGAGCCCCAATATTGTAAATTTTAAGAAGAGCGATGAGGGAAGTAACTAAAGTACAGGCAGTATTATTAAGTGTGGCTTTTATTCATGTAAGTCTTATAATTTTAATAATTACGCAAAGACCCAACTCTATACAGATTATTTGTATTTCAATCTCTGATGGCTACAAGTACATGCCAAAAACAAATAAAAAAAACCAAAATACAGAAACAGATCAAAAACATATTCTAAAGAACTAACCAAAGAAGAAAGTAGTGAAAATGATGATAGAAGGGACAGAAAAGTTTACAAACAGACTGGCTTTTTCTTCTTCTGTTTGTCCTTATCCTTTGCTTCTCTTTCTCGTTTGGCAAGTCGCCTCTTAAATTCTTCTGGCATTTTCTCATAACAGTGTTTGCAGACTGGTTTTAGATCAATCTCAACAAATTTATCCCTTTGAACAGGATAGAAGGAATAGAGGAAAGAACAGGGAATAATTAAAGGAAGAATATTTATTTTCAGAAGGCCTGAACAGAAAGAAGAAATAGGCATCAGGTAGATCTCTTTTTAAAAACTGTACTAATATTTAAAAAATGTTACCCCAAAGTTTTCAGTTTTAGGGCTCACACTAGACCAAAATGTTTACTTACTTGAGTGTTAATTTAGTGTTGCAAGTAGAACAGGCAAAACAGTTCACGCACCAGGCCTTATTAAGAGCAGAGACCACTAGAGAAAGAAGAAGATATCTGGTCACACACACTGGTATGGTAAGTGGGGGGAGTTTACATTTGTAACTCTAAATAGGAAGAAGTCAAGTTTACTTGCAAAAGAATCACCTAGCTAAAAAAATCTCAGTGCCAATAACTAATATTTATTGAATCAATTATATTAATTCATTAAAGTTTTCACATTATTAACTGTGAAATCAAAGAACTTTCACATTACAAAAACATACAAACTAAGTGCTTTCATACGACTGTAGACTTCTTACTAAAGATTACTGCCTTTCTCAACCTTTATTTATAGTTACACGTTGTCCCTTTCATTTGAACATCCTGTGAAGCATTTAAATGGTATAAACCATGTTTTCACACCAAAGCTCATGTCCTCTACTCTCATGGATGCTTGGACAGACAAGCTTCGTCGCAGAGTGCTTGCTTAACCAGTGCGCTTTCCCCTCATTTTCTGTCCTTACTACCATTGGTCCAACAAAGAAAGATGGACTAGATAATATAAAAAAGAAAAAAAATCTGGACATTAACTTATCTACCTGTCTTTCTTCCAAAATTAGTAAGAAAAGGGTTTTCCTTTGATAGCTTTTTCCATCTGGCAACTGTCTCATGTAGAAGGGAGTTAAATTTTATTTGCAATGGCACTAAAGATTGCTTTCCTGAACAAATCCCTTCACAAAATGCATATGGGCAGTGTTTCAGAAAATATTTCCTGAGTTAGGTTCTCTGCCAAGAACCATGAAGCACGATGAAAACAGGAATGTTTAAAACTCTGCCAGGAAGCTTCTGGCAGTGATGTGCTAGTGACTATTAGCAAACACAGCTGTTTCCTTTCTGTCCCAGTCAATCAACCCTCCCTAATTACCATGGTACTAGGGTGGTTAGCATCTACAGGATTAAAGGGACTCTTACTATCACGGGCAGATTAAACTATTCCTAATAAAACAATACTCCTCAGATTCCAAGTCATATAATTCTAGGAAATAGAAATAGAAACAGGTTTCAGGGTCAGCCATGACTAATTCCCTCAATTCCTACTGTATCAATCCTATGGGACTATTACTATTAAATTATAATGGTAAATAAGTATCAAGTTTAATTGTTATGTGTTATCAACTCACTGCTAAAGATTTGGGAATTTTGCCAAAAAAAAGAGAAAAGTAACTGATAATGATCATATTCCAAACAATACCAATCATAAACCTCATTCAATGTTCATATTACCCAAGTGCTTTTGTGTGAAAATGGTACCATAAAATTCCTACACTTACCATCACCTTCTATCACACGGTTGCAGTGGAAGCAAACATCACCAAATAGCTGAAAAGGATAAAAAAGGGAAAAAAATATTCAAGATGTATTAGAACTAAGTTTTAGAAAAACCAAACTTTAAATGCAGAATTTACCATTACTAGAGAAAATTAGTGGAAGTTCAGACTAGTTTTTACTTCTTACAATGAAAATAATTTACTTTTCATCACTAGCAAAACCAAAAACAAAAAGGCTGTGGAAAAGCTCCAGACTGAAGGAGGTTGAAGGAACAGGATAACCCTATATTGGATATAGGAAATATATCCAATTATTTTTTTTCCTCAAATGGAAAAAAAAAAGCTATAAAGACATTCTTACGTTAAGTGACCAAATTGGGAAAAAACAGGTTATAAATGTCAAAATGATAACTATGTAATATGAGAGAGTTCCATATTCTTGGGAAATACACATTGGAGTTTTTAGGGATAAAGGATCATTATGACATTATCCTCAAATGATTCAGAAAGTATATATATTTGAATTTATATATACATATATTTGTATGTAAAAAGAAGTGCATTAATGTAAGTGTGTGTTTTTATAGAGTGTGAACACATACAAATGATGAGCCTGAGTATAAAGTGGTATAGGTATTCTTTGTATTTTTATTTTACAATCTTTCTGTGAGTCTGAAATGGGTGCTTTGGTGGTGGGAGAGCTACAGTGACCACACCAGAAGGAAGAAATGCTACAATGTCAAAATATTAACAAGGATGTAAACAAACAAACAAAAAAAAGTTAAAAAGAAATCTGTACAGGCCTATGTACATTTCTTACGAGATTTCCTTGTAGCTAAAATATTGCTAAATTCAAATTTATAAAAGTATATTGATATTCAATGAGTATGATCAATACCTGATTATAGTGGGTTTCACAATATGCCAGGCCTTTCCTTTCATAATGGCGATGTCCAAGAAATGGTTTTTCACACTTGGCACAAACAAAATGCTGGAAAAAAGTTGCTGTGGGTCATTTTTAAATTGCCATATTTTATTTAATGAAGAAAATTTGGAGAAAATCCCAAAGTTAAACTGTCCTCAGAGAAGATACATGAAAACTTGAGGTAGTTATTTCATGAGCGGAAGGGTAAACATAAAGTACTTGCAATCTTAATTCAGGTGTCTTGAATCTTTGACTGGTTGCTTTAAGGCAAAGCCCATTTGAACAACACAGAATGACAAAAGAGGTGAACATCTTAGTAGCATCCCTAAGGGAGGGTCTGGTGGTGGAATCAGAAAGCACATCCTGTATTATTACTGAGAGTTCATAAAAAAATACATATTCTATGTTCTTAAATTTCTACAAAGTCGACTTTCATTAACATGTCTATATTAATTTTTAGAATCCCCTAATCTTGCCAGCACATCCAAACCATGGAAGTGCAAAAGTATAGATTACACCACCACCATTTGGAACTCACCTCCACATGCCACTGCTTACCCATGGCATTTACCACACGCCCTTCAATGGGTCGGCGACAAGCACCACAGATGGGGACCCCCATTTTATCATGGCATGGCAAGCAATACAGTTCTCCTTTCAGCTCCCGGGCATCAGCAGTCAGCTCTTTCCTATCCAGGAGAAAGATAATCAACAGAATAATACCATCGAGAGAGAAAATCAGGCATCCAATGTGGCTAACCCACTTTTTAAAAGGTTTTTGGTGATATTACTATAACAATCCCTGTAATTTCTATTTTCTCTCCTGAGAGGTGATCAGAGTAACAAGAATTAATAGGCTTCAACAGGTTTCAGATTCTAATCCAAACATTAGTATGTAATAACAGATGTACAAATAAGTCAGATATATACCATGATACCAGTCACATTTATCATTTCCTTTTCTATTATCACATTATAATCCATTTTTATTCCTACAAAGCTAGAGGAGAATCATCATAGTACTAAGGACAGACTCAATGATACCACATTTCAAAATAACTGAGGAGTTAGGATACTAGTCACACAAAACATTTAACATCTTAAGGGAAAAAAAAATTTCCTTAAGGAAATGCAAATGGCCAACAGGCATATGAAAAAATGTTCAACATCACTTGTAATCAGGGAAATGCAAATCAAAACTACCATGAGATACCATCTTACACCAGTGAGAATGGCACATATTAAAAAAACTAGCAACAACAAATGTTGGCGAGGGTGTGGAGAAAAAGGAACTCTCCTGCACTGTTGGTGGGAGTGCAAACTGGTCCAACCACTATGGAGAGCTGTGTGGAGATTTCTGGACCTACTAAACATAGAGCTTCCATATGATCCAGCAATTCCACTCCTAGGTATTTACCCAAAGGACACAGAAACATCAATTCCAAAGGGCACCTGCACCCCTATGTTTATAGCAGCACTGTTTACAATAGCTAAGCTTTGGAAACAGCCCAAATGCCCAAAAATAGATGACTGGATCAAGAAGATGTGGTACATATACACCATGGAATATTACTCAGCATTCAAAAAAGATAAACACATGCAATTTGCAGCAACATGGATGGCGCTGGAAGGGATCATGCTCAGCGAAATAAGCCAAAAAGAAAAAGAAAAATACCGGATGGTCTCACTCATAGCAGGAATCTAGAAAACTTAAATAAGGGACCAGGAAAATGAATATAAGAAAGTGAAAATCAAAATCAACAAAAAACTATGAACCAGAGACACTTTTTGGGGGGTGGGGGGGCGGGAGGGGAGGGATTGGGGTCAGAATGGGGCGTTTGCAATTGTATGGGGGAATATAAAAATAAAATTTATTATTTAAATTAAAAAAAAATTCCTTAAGATTTGTCCATGAACAAGAGCTTTATATGTATGTGTTTACCACAGTATGCATTACATTAGGAAAAATTTTTTTTATTTCATTTGCTAATGATTATTTAAATTGTCACAAACTGTTAAGAATAGTCACAGGTTAACAGTAAACTAGTCACTTATGTCAAAAAACACTTCGCCGCACGGGGCCCCAATTCATCAAATGGATTTGTCTGAATTTCACCTACTTAATTCTTTAGGAAAAGTTCTAATGAAAAGGAACAAAAAAATCCCACCAGAAGGACGATAGGCAAGAAAGCAAAGGCACAAATGATAATTACAAAAAAAAGTTGAGGTAGTTGTATTTATACCATGAAGGTGTTTTCTTAATCTTTAGCCTACCTTGTCTCTCCCCTTTCCAGTGTAATTTAATATGTGAGTTCATACTTTTTCCATTACATTTTTATAACAGAAAATTTAGAAGAACCATAGTCTAACAATTCATCATGTGTTTCCGAAGGAAAAATTCTTTTTAGATGTAAATCAACAAAATAAACATAATTTAAGATACTTGAGATAAGACCTAACTATTTCAAACTGTAAAAGTTATATATGTAAGATGATAAGACTTTTTAATTCTCTTTAATCCTGCATTGGAAAAACATAATGAAAAACAGTTTTGGGGATAATGGTATATTTTAATATGTACTGAATATTTTATTTTTTATTTTATTATTTTATTTATTTTTAAATTTTTTATTTTTTACATCATTGTTCATTTTTTTTTTAAATAAATCTTTTTTTTCCATGTATTTATTTATTTGTTTGTTTGTTTATACAAACACTGGGTACAGTCAGAAGTGCGGGAGGGTAAGAGAATTCACCAGAGCCAGAGCGGGGAGCAGAGCAGGCAGAAGGACCGAAGTACACTGCTGAGGGGAGCAGCGGGCGGCAGGAGAGGTCTGCGCGCCATGTGGGACCCTCCTCCGGTGACCGGGGAGCAGCGGGGGATCGAACCGGCGCCGCAGAGGCTGTGGGGAGCTTCGCAACCCAGCGCTCAACCGCTGCGCCACCGGGGAGGCCCCATCATTGTTCATTTTTAAACAATATTTGCTTCCCCCCACCCCCTCAGGATGGACTGAATATTAAAGGTATGTTGTATATACATGTACGCATGTACACATTCTCAAATGTGGCAAAATATTAATCGGGAATAAAATGAAGAGTATACAGACATTCTTTTTATTAGTCTCTTGACTTTAAGTTTAAAATTTTTCAGGTTAAAAATTGGAGAAAAATAATTTGATTTGCCAGAGCGTAAAAAACAAAGATATTTGTGGTCTTTTGTTTCCACTATTTGTACAATAATAACTGAATAAACTATAATACCCGCAGTTGGCACAGTTGAAATGGTCTGGATGGTAAGGGTCATTCTTGAAAATCAGAGGTTGTTCATCAATGATGGCGTGGCATTTCTGGCAGATGTATTTTCCAAGGCCTCTGGCTTTCTCACGATTATGACAAGGGCGACACAGATGTCTGAACAGAGTCAAAGTCATTGAAAAATGTAAGTTAAAATCTAAGGGTCTTCCTATTAAAGAGACTATGCTACCCAGAGTTCTTAAATTAAAGAAGCCATGTCTTTAAAGATCACTGCTACACTTCGTAGAGCAGATGCAAGCCATTGCTTTTTACATAAACAATTATTTATTCCAAATCAGATTATCTGATTGATCTTTAAAAAACTCCATCTTAAGTACCAACCCCCCTTTGGTGACCCAGCAGCCATGTAGCAGCCATAAACTGCTACACTGAAATTCTAGAACCCTCTCCTAACAGTTACCAGATAAGCCAATATATTGCAGCGTAGGTCCTTACACCTTAAATTCAGTGATCTACTGTTCTACCTTAGAGTCCCATCAGAAAACAAGCATGACCCTGTAGTAGTCACACTATCCACCCACACTCAACTAGGATGAAAAACTCCTACCTTCCAGCATTCTTGACAAACCCAATATCTGCCAGAACTTCCTGGCAGATGTCACAGCGGAAACACTCAGGATGCCAGCTGTTGTTCATGGCTTTGATAACTCGGCCAATGATGAATTCACCTGTGGGAAAGTAAACCACAAAGGATGTCCAGTGGGACATCTTAAAAGGAAAAAATGTGTGATATCTTAAGGGAAAAAACATGAGAAAAAAATACATTTAAACCTTTCTCCATAAACAGGAACTTTACATGTATGTGTTTACCACAGTAAGCATCACATTAGGAAAAGCATTTTTTATTTCAGCTGAATTCTTGTTTTTGATTCAGTGTCCCTGTTTTCTGGCTGCTTCATTATATCTTTGATTCTGGCTTTCCTTTTCTAAAGGATGAGTGGGCTCTCTTGAATGCCTTCTGGTTATTTCTGGTGATTGTTGACACAGAAAACTGAAATCCACAGTATACTTTCTTATATCCCATTGTTGTGCAACCATGCCAGGCTGGGTAGGTTCACTGCCAATTCTCATAGATGAAAAGAGAATTTTGGAGACTTCAGTAGATGTTACAGGCCTTTAATGCTGAATAAGGGGCCAAACCATCCATCAGGGAGATAGCAACTGAGCCCACTAGCCCCAGAGTGAAGGCCCCTCTGTGAACACCAGAGCTGAGGAGCCCCTTTGATCCCTTGCATCTGGGTCCAGGTGTTGCATTTACATATGCACATGGATGTGCTCTCTGGGCCCAGGTGTCCATAATCACAGGGGCAATGCCCATGCCAAAGCCTCTCACCTGTAACCTAGAAGCGCAAGACCACGGGTGCCAGCCAAAGAGGCCAACAGTGGGAGGGTGGAAAAAGCCTGAGTTAACTCCATTTCCCCTATATCCATACTTAGTTTCTTCATTAAATCTTGAGAGCATTCTATTCAGTATGTCCAAATTATGGAGGCCTTCAAAATAGAGCTGTCAGGAGTCAGTGCAACAGCTGAGAAACAAGCAGCCTAAGTACTTGGGTAGCCCACAAGCAACTCTTTGGTATCTTTTAAGCACCATCCTGATGTCTTCCCTGTCTCTTTCCTGGCAAACCTCAGAAGTGGGTAGGTAAAGGTTGCATTAACATAGGAAAGAACATTTCAAAAGACCATGTAACCGAAGTCCTAGTTAATCCTGAAACATCTTTACACTTGATGTCCTGAAAAATCACTTCTCTACAGGTTTTGATATTCTTCTACCTTGTAAAACTACTGATAATCGGTAAGAGGACTAATAAAATATCTAAATGCTACTTATAACGAGCACCAGAAACCATTTAAGTAACAAGTAATCTTAAAACTTACTCTTTACTTTGCATTCAGTAGTAAAACTTACCACACTGATGACAGCAAGGAGCAAAGAGCATCTGAAAATCATGTTCACAGTACTTTCTTCCTTCAAACTGAAAAGAAAGTATTACCAACTAGTGAATATGAAATAATCAATGGGGCCTCCCTAGGGGTGCAGGGGTCAAAGACAGCGCTATCAAGCTACTGCTAGCCACTACCGCGTGAGTTCCATCCCAGGCCAGCCAGGGAGCTACCCACATGGCGCAGCAGACCTCTCCAGTCTCGCCCGCTGCTCCCCTCAGAGTTGTATTTCAGTCAGTCTGCCTATTCTGCTCCCCACTCTGTCTCTGGTGAATCTTCTCACCCCCCACACCTCTGGCCTGTACCCCAGTTCTTGCATGCATGCATGCATAAATCTTTTTAAAAAATGAAATAATCATAGGTGAATATCATGATTTTATGGAGACATAGGAAAGATGTTTTTGATCTAAGAATTTATAATTTTCTGGGTAATTTAAAAACAGATATACTTTTATACCTTCCATACATCTACATATGAGGATGGAAAAATACACCCAACGAATAAGAAACTAAAACTAATATTATACACCCAGAGCATGTGAACTCACTTTTAACTATGCTTGTTTTTTGGCTCATATATTCTCCCTGTAAGAATCTGATGAAAGCTTCAGCACCCTCTCTGCAGAAAGTATGTATTGAATACATACACAAAATCCCCTGAGCACATTATTTAGGTTGATATCTACAATATTACACAGTAAGCTTAAATATTTACAAAGATAAACATTCTAGCATATTTAAATTTTAAATAATTTTAAATGGGACCCAAACCCATTAAAAAAGTAGACATATTCTTCCTTAAGGACACAGGAAATTACATCCTTCGCTTTTCTTCTTGAACCGTTTCCATTTACTTTCCCCAAAGTTTTAGCCTAGTTTAGTATTTTCTACACTTGAGTCTTTAATCACCCACAAAACATTCCTGCAATTAAAATGTTCATTAATGAAATTAAAATTTATTTCACTTTCCAAATCTATAGGCTCTAAAGGTTAGCATTCTTATAATCATTCACCACAAGGATTATTAGTATAATATAAATACTCCAGTGTTAAATTTTATATTTTGGGGGTGGGGGGCGGGGAAAGGAGGGATCGGGTTCAAAATAAGGGGTTGCAATTGTATGGGGAATATAAAAATAAAATTAAAAAAATAAAGTATAAATTCTATGTGTCCTGACACATATACAGATTAAAAAAATTTATTTTTCACTATTTAATAATTTACTTTAAATGTGTATCTTAGGGCCTCCCTGGTGACGCAGGGGGTAAAGACGCAACCTATGAAGCTGTCTGCAGCCTCTGCAGCACGAGTTCGATCCCCGGCCATCCAGAGGGCAACCCACAAGGCGCAGCAGACCTCTCTTGATTCGCTGCTGCTCCCGTCATCAGTGTGCTTTGATCCATCTGCCTGTTCAGTTCCCCACTCTGTCTCTGGTGAATCCTCTCACTCCCTACACCTGTGGCCTGTACCCCAGCACTTGCTTGTATAAATAAATGAATCTTTAAAAAAATTACATAGCAGTCCTTCAGCCTCTTCTTAACCTTTTTAAAAAAAATAAGTGCATCTTAATAAGGAGCAGAGGTACCTTCTCTTCTCACAATTATTTCATATATCTGCTACAGGGCAGCCCCGATATAAAACGGGTTGCCTGACTGTGGGTCCTCACCTGCGCGCTTAAAAGGACTTATCAATACCCTACTGCAGGCACACGCAAAAGGTTAATAAAAGGTTTATTTACAAGGAAAGGGCAAATGAGGAAATGTACAGCCCAGGGAGAAAAGTGGGAGACAAAGTTTTAAATGCGTCCTACCCGATCCGCAGATCTGGAATCCCGAATGGCACTCTGAGAGCTGGCCACAAGCCAGGCGCCCAGAAGCCAGGAGGCGAGCGAGAGAGCGAGATCCCCCAAGGCCCACGTGTCTGGTTTTTATACCAAACCTGGCTGCTTAACTCCACCCTCAGGTCCCAGCCACCTTTCCTTTGGTGGTGACGGTATTCGTCTTTCCCAATGTCTTGATGGCTTTGGTCTGGAGTGGGGGTGGAGTCCACAAAGCCTGCATGGGATTAGCTCAGGACGTCCTTTCCCCCTAACATATCCATGATTAATGACTTATTGCTAGAAAAGTCAGGGCTCAACATTATTTCTAGGGTTCAACATTAGTTAATTTTCTATTTTGGATGCTGCCCTTACCCTCGTCACATAAATAAATTGTAGAAATTATATCATGTCCCCTTTTGAGTCTCTGAGCTCCTTACAAGTTATATGTTAAAAAAAAAAAATCACATACTCTTTGATTATCAAAACTATTTTTTAAATCAACTCAAAATGGTTAAAAGAGTTGAACATAAGACCTGAAACCATAAGACATATAGAAGAAAATATAGGTAAAACGCTACATAACATACACCTCAGTAACATCTTTAAAGACACATCCCCCAAAGCAAAGAAAGTGAAGGAAAAGATAAACAGCTGGGATTACATCAAACTAAAAAGATTTTGTACAGCAAAAGAGACATTAACCAAAACAAAAGAGACACCCCACTGATTGGAAAAAACTCTTTGCACTCCATACAATTGATAAGGGACTGATCACAAAGATAGACAAAGAACTCAAACAACTCAACAAAAACAAAGTAAACGAATCGGTCAAAAAATGGGCAAAAGAACTTAAAAGACATTTCTCCAAAGAGGAATGCAAATGGCCAACAGGCATATGAAAAAGGTTCCACATCCCTCATAATCAGGGAAATGCAAATCAAAACCACAATAAGACACCATATGACCCAGCAATTCCTCTCCTAGGGATCTACACAAAGGATACAAAAACATTAAATCAAAAGGATACCTGCACCCCTATGTTTACTGTAGCACTATTTATAATAGGTAAACTTGGAAACAACCCAAATGCCCAAAAATAGATGGCTGGATCAAGAAGATGTGGTATACAATGGAATACCATTCAGCAATCAAAAATGATAAACTCATACTATTTGCAGCAACATGGATGGAGCTAGAAGGGGTTATGCTCAGTGAAATAAGTCAGAAGGAGGGCCTCCCCTGGTGGCGCAGCGGTTGAGCGCTGGCCTGCAAAGCTGCCCGCAGCCTCTACAGTGCTGGTTCGTTCCCCGGCCACCGGCGAGGGTCCCACAAAAAAAAAAAAAGAAATAAGTCAGAAGGAAAAAGAAAAATATTGGATGGTTTCACTTATAGGAGGAATATAGTGGAACCAAATAAGGGATCAGGGAAAAAATAATAACAATAAAAAACACACCAAAATAAAACATAAAACAGGCAACTATAAATCAGAGACATTGTGCAGGACAGGGGGAGGGAGAGAGATCAAAACGTGGGCAGGAAGAGCACAAGGGACTATGGTGATGGTGCATGGGTGAACTAGTGGTGGAAATTCTACGGGAACTACACCTGAGAAAAGAAAGCAAACATTGTACAACAATGAACAATGATGTAAAATATATATAAATTAAAAAAAGAAAAAACCTATTTTTTAATGATTTATCAGTTGTTAACTCAATTTCCTCAACTATGGAAATTAGCTACAGACTTAGTTCACTTCAATTTATTGAACATATCTCCCATAGTTTAACTGGCACACCAGTCAAAGCAGATTTGTATCAGAAAAAGTCTAATTTAATTTTAAAATTCAAATGAGTGAGCTTTAAAATTTCCTAAGTTACAGACAGCAGATAGTAAATCAATATGCTATTATTCAATTCTCTATCATAATGCATTATTATGTATATCCAAAAGTAGAAATTACTTATGAAGTGAGATATGTTTCTTTATTGAATGTATATTATTTACCTGATATTCAGTTTTTAGCAATAATAAAGAAATCCAGTATAAAAACTCAGAAATAAATCCACTAATTTAGTTTGAAATTCCTATTCAGTGTTAGCAGTACCCTCTCAGAACTGTTTGTTTCAATTGGCCATTAAAGTTTAACTATAAAAAATGTTAAACTTTTTTTTTTTTTTTTTTATAGAGGCATGCTTTATTTATTTGTTTGCTGGTTTCTTTGTTTGTTTTGTTTATACATGCACTGGGTACAGTCAGAAGCGCGGGAGGGCGAGAGAATTCACCAGAGCCAGAGCGGGGAGCAGAGCAGGCAGAAGGACCGAAGCACACTGCTGAGGGGAGCAGCGGGCGGCAGGAGAGGTCTGCGCGCCATGTGGGACCCTCCTCCGGTGGCCGGGGAGCAGCCGGGGATCGAACCGGCGCCGCAGAGGCCGCGCGCAGCTTCGCAACCTAGCGCTCAACCGCTGCGCCACCGGGGAGGCCTAAACTTTTTTTTTTAAAGATTTATTTATTTATGCATACAAGAGCTGGGGTACAGGCCAGAGGTGCAGGGGGTGAGAGGATTCACCAGAGACAGAGTGGGGAACAGAACAGGCAGACTGACTGAAACACACTGCTGAGGGGAGCAGCGGGTGAGACAGAAGAGGTCTGCCTCGCCATGTGGGTTTCTCCCTGGCAGGCCAGGGATTGAATTCATGCTGTAGTGGCTGCGAATTTCTTCATAGTGTGGTGCTTAATCCCTTGCGCCACCACCAGGGAGGCCAAAAAAAGGTTAAACTTTTAATAGTGAAACTATTGCATCATAAGACTTTGAGAAGGAAAGGAAAATGTTTTGTGGATCATTGTGTGTGTGGGTGGGGGAGGAGGGGACAGTTTTAAGTTATCAGTTTTTAATATATTACTTTGTAATGGAAACAACTTGACTAACAGTCTCTCACAGAATTTTAAGTCTATTACAAAGTTTAATGAGAAAAAAAAAATCAACCTCTAATCTGTATTTAATACATAAAGACACAATGTTTAAAAAAAGTCTAGTATTTACTATATATACTGTATGTTAGTAGATGGTAGAAAATGAATGTAAAAAATGAATGTAAAATGAAATAAAGATTTGGTATAATTTTAAAGTCTTTTGAGATATGATTTGAATAAATGACATTATAGGAGTGAAGAACACTGACTGAGGATCCAAACACCTGAGTTGAAGTCCTGGC